GGTTAGGCAATTCCAAGTTACTACCAAAAAGTTTTCTGGCCCTAATTTTTTCCCCGTTGGCTTTTCTATAACGACGGGAACAGGTTGTTGCAGGTCCCCATGATATATGCTAAATGCACAGCTTGGGAAAGATTATGCTTATGGGAGGATTTGTACTCTATTAGGCTCAACTTATCATTGCCTTAGATGGTTGGAGGAGACTTTAATGTTATTATGGAGGAAGATGAGAAAATTGGTGGACTTCTGGTGTATCCACAAGAGTATGAAGATTTTGCATTGTGTATTAGTTCCTGTGAATTATTTGGTCTTCATTTCACAGGTAATCCTTTTACTTGGTGGAATGGTAGGGCGGATGGAGAATGTATATTCAAAAGGCTAGATAGGGTGGTAATTAACCAGGCCTTACAAGATTTATTTGGTCAACTGGAGATTCAGCATCTAGCTCGAATAGGATCAGACCATGCCCTTCTTTTACTGACATGTGAAGGATCTACTCAACACTACATCAAACCTTTCAGGTTCTTGTAGTTTTGGGCAGAGAGTGATGACTTCGTAGAGGTGGTGAAACAAAACTGGGAATCTGAATTTTCAGATGACATATTTACGCAGTGGAAATTGAGACTAAAAATACCAAATTAGCTTTAACTAGGTGAGTAAAGCTAAGTATGGGGACATTTTTAAGAAATTATTGATCAAAAAAGAAATTGTTTAAGTGAAAGAACAATTATTTGAAGAACATCCTACATCTCTGAATAGGATGGTTCTCCAACAGGCTCAGGCATAATACAAACTATATTTGCACTATGAAGAAGAGTTTTGGAGACAAAAGGCAAGTATTCAATGGTATAATGAGGGGGACAAGAACACTAAACTCTTCTATAGTCTGGTAAAAGGAAGAAGGAAAAGACTAGCTTTACAGAGAGTGCTAAGATCAGATGGCATTTTGGCAGAAGGAGAGGAGGAGGTTGCAACAGAGGTAGTAAAGTTTTCCCAAGATTAGTTTACTGGGAGAGATTGTAGAGAGGATCTTAATTTAATCCATTTTATTAAGCCAACTATCAATAGAGAGGAAATTTCTTTGATCAAAGACATACCTGAATAAGAGGAAATTAAATCAGTGGTGTTTAGACTAAATGGAGATAGTGCCTGTGGACCTGATGGCTTTACAAGTCATTTCTTCTAGAAGTGTTGGTCAATAGTAAGTCCAGATGTTGTTGGGATTATTCATGCTTTTTTTAAGGGTCAGACTCTACCTAAATTGATTACTCATACTAATCTGGTCTTACTGCCTAAAAAGAAGTTTATTCAAACCTTTTCAGACTTAAGACCTATTAGTTTTGGTAATTTTATTAATAAAATCATATCCAGAGTCATTCATGATAGATTGGATGGTCTTCTTCCCAAACTAATCTCACAAATCAGGTTTTGTGAAAGGAAGAAATATTGCTGAAAATGTTTTGTTGGCCTAAGAAATTGTTTTAGATATTAGAAAAAGGGGGAAGCCAGATAATTTTGTGATCAAACTGGATATGGCCAAGACAATGACAGGGTTAATTGGAGGTTCCTGGCAAGTGTATTGGCTCAAATGAGTTTTGATGTTGTTGTTATAGATATGATATGGATAGTTGTGGCAAATAACTGATATTCTATTCTCATCAATGGGAAAGCTAAGGGTTTCTTCCACTCTACACGAGGAGTAAAACAAGGGGATCCTCTATCTCTTGCTTTATTTATTTTAACTACAGAGGTTTTATCTAAGGCTTTAAATCATCTATTTGATCACAATGATTTTAAATGTTTTGGAATGCCTAAGTGGAGTGACAGGTTAAATTATCTGGCATATGCAGATGATACTATTATATTTGCAACAACTATAAAGAAATCTTTAGACTTGATAAAGAATGTATTGCAGGAATATGAAAATCAATCTGGTCAGAAAATCAACAAGGAAAAAAGCCTATTTTACATGTTCAATAAAGCTGCAAATGAGTGTGTGAAGATAGTGGAGGATACTACTGGTTTTGAAAGAGGTAGATTTCCTTTGATGTATCTTGGATGTCCAATTGGACATGCCAAGAAAAGGAAATTTGAGTTTAGAGAACTGATCAAGAAGATGCAAAGTAAGCTTCATTTTTTGGAAAGGAAAGTTATTGTCCTTTGGGGGTAAGGCAGTTCTCATTAACCATGTGTTGCATAGCATGCCCATATACCTCCTGTAAGTTATTGTCCCTTCTAAAAGTATCATAAATGATATTCATAGAATGTTTTCTAAATTTCTATGGAATTTTAAAGAGGATGGGAGGGAAAAACACTGAATTTCTTGGAATGACATGTTTGTTCCTAAGAAGGAAGGAGGTCTTGGTTTTAGGTCTTTGATAGATGTCTCAAAAGCTTTATTTGCTAAACTCTGGTAGAATTTCTGGACCAAAAATACTTTGTGTTCAAATTACATGTGGAATAAATATTGTAAGAGACATGGTCCACAGACAATAGAATGGAAAGGAGGATCTCAAGTTTGGAAATTGATGTTTCAGGCTAGAGATTATATAGATCAAGACATATGGTGGGAAGCTAGAGGTGGTCAGGCCAGTCTTTGGCATGACAATTGGACTCAATCAGGGGCCCTACACTCCCTGATGCCTACTTCACATACCAGAAATCATGAATTTGCTGATGTACGTTGTGTAATGGATACTAATGGGTGGAATCAAAATTTGTTAAAAGAGTTGTTCAATGAAGAGACATGTGAGCAGGTGAAGAAGGTACTGGGTATGGGTCAAATAGCTGTATAAAGAGATCAACATTGGTGGATGCCAAATAGCAAAAGATTACGGTGAAAAGTGCTTGGGATCTAATGAGACAGGAAGGAAATTCAACAAGACATCATGCTTATTTGGGAAAAAGGCATTCCTTTCGGTATCTCCTTCTTACTTTGGAGAATGTGGTTTGAGAGAATTCCCATTGGTGAGATTCTGGTTAGGTTTAACATAAAAGATACATTTAATTGTGTATGTTGTAATAACTCTACACCGGAAACATTTGATCACCTATTTATGTCCTGTCCAGATGCAAAGTATTTATGACAAACATTTTCAGGAGCTGCTGGAGTTCAAGGACCTTTCATTCAGATGAAGAAGACTATCTATCAATGGTGGGGGAAGAATGCAACCCCAAGCTAAAATCATTGTTTAGATCAGTTCCTATATTTATTATATGGCAGATTTGGAAAAAAAGGAATAGAGTCAAGCATGGAGGAAATATGTCTAGACAGGCTATGGTAAGAGAGGTTAATAGGAATATCTACCTAATGGCCACAACTAGATATCCTTGGCTATCCAACATGCCTACTCAGTGGCTCATAATTATCAAATTCTTGGAAGATTACATTTCTATCCTTTCTTGTAAAGTGGTGAAATGGATTTTTCCTCCTGAAGGTCATTTTAAATGCAACACTGATGGATCTTGCAGAGATCAACTACACCTTAGTTCAAAGGCATTTAGTGTGAGAAACAACAATGGAGACTTGGTCTATGCAGAGACGGAAAGTGTGGAGTTATGCAGTATTTTAGAAGAAGAGGTAGGAGCCTTTAAAGAAGGATTACAATATTGTGTTAATAACAACCTCATGCCTCTAATCATGGAAACATACTCTCTTATTCTGAAGAAAATCATTGATGAAATATGGGAATACCATGGAGCATATCAATGGACGTAAGGTGCATCAAGAAGATGTTGAAAAATAAGGATGTGGTAGTGATTCATATCTTTAGAGAGGGGAACTGTGTAGCAGATTGTTTAACTAACCATGTTTTTAGTTTTGCAGGTACAACAATGATCCAGTTCTTATCTAACACTGAACTACCAACACAAGCACGAAAATTGTTACAGATAGATAAGCAGGGTATTCCTAATATTAGAATCGAAAAATGCCAAAACGGAAACTTCAACAATCAATGAAGCATAGAAGAGTGTATGATAACAAATGACTAGTTCATATAAAAACATGCTTGAATATAATAGTTGCAACTCATAGCTACTGAAAAATGTAATTCGAATATTTGTTTACAAGATCAAAAAGGAGAGGTTACTTGGTATACACGAGATTTGAGGCAGTGGTATCAGCTCTTCAGAGCTCAACCTGCACAAATTGGGGGTTTATCAGTTACATCTCTCAAAATTGATTGAGCCAAATGTGTGCTTCAATCTTAGGGATTACCTAGATTGGATATGTCGGAAGAAGGATATGAGCTGAAAGAGTCTTCATAGGGTTGGATCCATGGCATTTGTGAGAATTTTTGAATGCCCAAGTGGATACCGCCCAAGCTCATGACTTTTTTTATCGCCCTTTCATCAAAGAAAAACCATCGAAGAAGCTCGACGTCGGTCGGAGAGGAAGCGGATCAACTGGAACTAGCATCGAAGGAGAAGACTTTCCATTTCTAGTTTACTTTGTCAATATAAGATGTGGTATTATGTATTTGGGCTTGGGTCACTATTGAACCCAAGTCATCAGATTTTTTGAATAAATGGGCCTGTCCCACACTTTACATTTAAAAAAAAAAAAAACTACATCAAAGGAGAATTGGAGAAGTAATGTTAAAGAGAGAAAAATAAGAAGGTAATACCAATTTTCGGAGATTACTTTTGCTCACTGCGCCTTTATCTTGTTATGTTATTTTTAATTTGTGCAATAAAATAATTTTAAATAAATTAAGAAAATACATTGTAGTTTATGTTTTAGAGAGAGATAAATGGAAGCAGAGGGCGTATATATAAATGGGGGAAGACAACTTTTTCAATTAGAAATGTGGTAATTGTTCCCTATGAAAATTGGGAAGTTTTGAAAGGTTAGGGGGTCAAAGTAGAAGATGAAGAGAATAATATTTTTATTTGTCTGAGAGAAAGCAACTACTACTGCAGTGCGGCCGGCGCCGTAATCTCCTCCATCCAGTCGACGGTTACCATATATTTTAACGGTACAGTTGTTCTATTCCTCAAATTGATTTAACAACTTCATGACTCATGATCGTCTTTCAAATGCAACTGCTTAGCGTCTGTTTTGGTTAAGTTGCTGTGCTTCCATTTTTATTCCATATTCGGATTGAAGATTGATTGATTCCGCTGCTATACGACCTAAACTTGGAACCAAGGGAGTAGCAAATTATGTACACACTATTGATTTCTGTGAATTAGCTTGCTTCATGTATCTGCAACCTTAACTACTAAATGTGTTCAAGTTTCTGATATTTATTGGATAACCCTAGTGTCGTCTACATTAATGATAGATGGGAGGAAATCAGCTAGTGTTTTTTTGTCACACGTGATGGTCTCAACCCACTTCATTGACCACTAGGCCACACACTAGGGTGCTAAGCTTCTAAGAATTTTATTGCTATTATTGCCCATTAGCACAAGGCACTGGCAAGTTAGTTGTGATGTTCCTACTAATCAAAAACAGATAGTTGTGATATTCTTGATAAACTGTAATTTGCTTGTTCTCTTATCAGATGGAATGTGCGGATGCATCCAATTTGGACTTAGAAAATGTAGGACCACGAGTTAATGGTGGGGAAGTGGATGGTTTTAGATGCAGTGTTGATGAGCTACTCATGAAAATTGACAAGGTACATTTCTTGAATAAAAGTGAGAATCTCTACCTTATGCGATTCTCGATTCTGTCTATTCCGTTCCTTTTTCTGTGCAGGATACATATTGTAATCCCGGATTAGTATCTTTTACTTTTTAGTTAGTTTCGTGTAGTATCGGAGAGGTTGTTGCTCCACTTTCCATTCTCCTTATCTGTCAACAATTATGCGTCCTGCTGAGAAATTCTTTGGGCATGGTAGCAGGGAATGTGTTGACTCTGTGTAAAGTTCCCACTTCTCAGCTTATCAACTCACTAATATGCTGGTCATCCATACTCTAGTATCTACTGACGGAGTATCATACTTATTGACAGTGCCTTCATCAAGGGCCTGATTTGCCAAAGCATCAACCAACTTGTTTCCTTCTCTCATGATGTGTATATGTGATCTGCATAAAGCTATTGATTTCTCTAATTTCTAGAGAGAAGGTTGCATATACCTCTCAACTTTGCAATTTAAAGCGGATATACCCCTCGTTAAAAAAGTGGTGCATATATACCCTCGCCATTTAACAAATGTGCAGATATACCTTCACCGTTTAACAAATGGTGCATCCCTTTTTGATAACAAACTAAATTAAGGAAACCCTAAAACTGTTTTTTTAATTTCAAAAAGTCACATGGCTTTAAAATATTATTTCTCCCATTTTCTTAACCCCTTCAGACTCGATCCAACTAAAAAAACCCAGCTCCTCTCTTATTCAGACCGGACCGATACCCATTTTATTACTGAGTAGAAGAGGGATTCGTTTTTTTCCATTTGAGTGGGGTCTGGGTTGGGTAAAAGAATAGGTGAGGTGATTTTTAAAGCCATGTGACATTTTTGGAATTACAAAACCAGTTTTAGGATGTATTGATTTAGTAAATATAGGTTTGTTAACAAAAGGGGTAAATATGCACCATTTGTTAGACGATGGGGTATATGTGCACCAACTTTTAATGAGGGGTATATCCGCTCTAAATCGCAAGGTTGAGGGGTATATTTGCCCCCTTTCCCTTTCTTTTATCCGTATAGCAATGTTCCATGGTGTTCCCATCCTTTTGCCAGTATCTTTTGTATTAATTTGAATCAGTCTGTATGATGATGTGATCTAGCTGTTTGCTAGAGCGATATTTGATAACTTCCACTATTGCCATTACTTCAGTGTTTGTTGTGTGCCCTATCTCTTTTGCTTGTGCATATACAAAATTACCTTCTGAATTCCTCACATAAAATCCATATGCATTTCTTCTTGGATTCCCTCTTGAAGCTCCATTAGTGTTGCCTATAATCCATCCTGTTGGAGGGAGTTTCCAGTTTCCACAACACCTCAGTGACTTTCACTTTAGGCTTGCATCTCTCTAACTTCTGAATCAAAGCAGACCATCTGTTTGGTATTTGCTTGATGGATGGATTCCTGAACTGTGTTAATCTTTGTATTGTTTCATAGACCTGGTAAATGCATCTGCCAACTGATCTCTGTTCTTCATGTTTTATAGCATTTCTCCTCTTCCAAAGTTCCCAAATGATTATAGCAGGTACAACTTGAAAAATTAGTTTAAGCTCATTTGTCACATGGGCTTGCCACCATTTCAGTATGATTTGCTGTAATTGTAGTCCATTTCACATTGATACCTACAAAAGAACAAAAATAGGACCAAGTCCTCTTAGCAGAAATTGATGTGGCAAATAGATGTTGTATTGTTTCCTCCTGAGAACTTGTACAACACCAACATCTAATACTATATTGTATCTCATCCTTCTCAGTACATCATCAAGTGGTAACGTGTATTTCTAACACCCCTATATAAAGAATGAGGTTTTGAAAAGAAGCCCTTTGATCCACATATATTTGTGTATCTCCATTTTCTGTTCTCTAAGCCTTAGATATTCTCAATCAGACTTCACTGAGAATTCCCCTTTTGTGGCCTGTAAACACCAAGGTGTATCCATATCTTTCTCTAAGCATGGGGCCTTTATAGTATTTGTGATGTGCTGCACTATATCCTCTGGTAGAAATTCTGCCAGCTTGTCGTTATTCCATCTTCCACTGTTCATCACCTCATAAACTTCTGTATGCTCTCATCAAAGTAGTCACCAGATGTAGCGTAATATAGTTCACCCAGACCTGTCCAATTATCAAACCAGAAAATTGTATTCCCCATCTTTGTTTGCCACCAAAACTGATGTTCAATTAACTCTTGCCTGTAATATCTTCTTGCATGTCTGGGATCCATATTTCCATTGTGCCGCTACTGCATTCACCTTTTTGCAGTACTTGTTACTTAGTCCTTGATTAAAAAAAATGATGACTTAGTCCTAAAATTCCATCAAAATTTGCAGTATAAAGCCATAGAAACATCATGTAGAGATCAAAAACCTACCCCCCTCATCCAGCACTGGTAAACATAAGTGTGGCCATTATGCCCATTGTCTACTCTTCCTCCTATATTGTTACTCCTATATTGGACCAATCACAGCCTTCTAAACTCGGTGGATAATGGGCCCGCCCCTCTACCCTTCTCCACTTAAATACCGGGCTTCGCTTTGCATGGTGTGGGGCTTGAACCTGCGACCTAAGCCACAAATCCTCCACTTTTTGCCACTTGAGCTAGGCCTTGGGGGCACCCTAAAGAACCAGGTGGTTTAGGAAGTCTGGGGTTACTTACAACCTCATCATTTTCCTTGCCAGAATATTTTAGCATGACAAGGAACTATATAGTTTTGGAAGCAGGTCAAGTTTTCATTTACATTTCTTAAGCCATTTGGTTTTGAAATGTGTTAAGCCAACAATATCTTAATTGGTTTTCATCTTTGGCAATTTTTGTGTTGCGAATAGACCTCACGAGGAAAGACTGTCAACACTTCTGTAGATATGCAGTCTAATGAACTTTGTGATGTACTCACCATGTGTTGCAGTTGTCCATCTATTTTTCTAGGTGATGATATTTGATATGTACTCTGTCTTCTCAATCTTCTGAAGATGTCTTGGTTGAACTTTCAAGTACATCCTTGTTGAAAGTTGAAACAGAATTCCCTGATAGCTGATCTCTTCAATATTCAGAATTTGAGATATTCTTGTGAACAATAAGTTGGATGTGGACATCATAGCATTAAAAAAGGTTTAGTTTTTCCTTGTTTTTAGTTAGTTGGAGCTAGTGATAGGATGATAGAAATTATTGTCACGTTTGATAGCACCACACTATAGTCACAGATCCATATTATTCTGCAGATACCACAGTAGACTTTCTAATTTTCCAATAATTGCACTGTGGTCTGAACGAAAAAGAGAAGACTATATGCTGAGATTCTAAATTAACCTTTAAACCCGAAGTGTTAATGCACTTTTTAAGACCTGCTTTTTTGGAATGTGCATTCATTTCTTTAATATTGGTTTATATTGTTGATGCACATAAGTGGTACTTAACTAGGAGTTATAGCCCATGAAATCCCTCTGGTTCTTAGTTAAAACACATTACAAACTTCTAATTAAGTCCAATATTTGCTTAACTTTGACTTTCATGAATTTCAAATTCATACTTTTTGAAAACCATGTCTACTGAAAGTCATAGTTGCGCTATCCCCTTGGGTAATCTTTCTGCACTGCTACAATTTAGGTTTGTTCAAAATCCCTGCAACTTCTAGTCACTCATTGGTGCATTAACAGGTTTTGCTTCCTGTATAAAAACAATTTCAACTACTAATTACTTCATAAAAAAAAAAAAAAAAACAATTTCCATAATTTTTCATGTGAGTTAACTGCGTGATGCTGTACTTTCAGCTTGAACAAAGAGTGAATGAAGTTGAGAAGTTTTACTTGAATACAAGTATAAAGCAACCAAACACCTCAAAGAATGCTTCTTCAGGGAAACACAAAGATAAGGATAAACATGTTCCTGGCTTTAAGAAGCTACAACAGGAAGCATCACGCAGAGAGGCTGCTGCAGCTAAGAGGATGCAGGAGCTTATGCGCCAGTTTGGCACAATATTGCGCCAGGCAATTCTTAATAATTGCAGTTCCAATTTTGTCGATAATTTTTGAATTCTTGATTGACCTCATAGTAATAGTATATTCTGTTTTTGATGTGCATGCCAGATCACTCAGCACAAATGGGCTTGGCCTTTTATGCAGCCCGTTGATGTTGCAGGACTTGGGTTGCATGACTATTATGAGGTAAAATATTTTGGTTCATTTTCTTTTTTTCTGCAACTTAAAAATCTTTTTTGATTCTTTTCTACATTATGATTTTCTTATTTTTGTGATACTTTTATATATCTGCTATCTGCTTAGCAATGTTTTGAAATTTAATGTGGGGTATTGGGGGAATTTCTTTAGGAGGTCTCAGATATGGTTCCGACTTATCCCACCTGTTTTCTTAGTCTGAAAATATCTCTATGAATTTCTGGATTCATTTCTGTCAAAAACGATGTTTCTGTTCAAGGTTCATTTATGCAGTTGAACTGATTTCTGTCTATCAGATTATTGACAGACCCATGGACTTTAGTACAATAAAGAACCAAATGGAGGCCATGGATGGCACCGGGTATAAGCATGTCAGAGAGATTAGTGCTGATGTTAGGCTGGTGTTCAAGAATGCAATGAAGTACAATGATGACAAGAGTGATGTTCATCTGATGGCGAAAACATTACTCGAAAAATTTGAGGAGAAATGGTTACAACTTCTGCCAAAAGTTAATGAGGAGGTAACTATTACTTTGGACATTTCTGGTCATTGGTATGGCTTCCGTAATTTCTTAATATAATGATGCTTGTGTTTCAATACTCCATATTTTTATCTGTAAATATTGCATGATCATCTCTTAAATCTTTCCATTTATTCCAGGAAAAAAGACGAGAAGAGGAGGAAGCTGAAGCCCAACTGAATATGCAGCTTGCTCAGGAGTCTGCTCATGCCAAACTAGCCAGGGATTTGTGTAACGAGGTAAAATCCAACCTACTCTTGAAGCTTAGCTTTTCTAAATATGATGGCTTAGTAATTCCCTCAAACAAGCTTTGATAATTCATAATGATATCCTCTGCCTCTCATTAGAGCTTGATCTGGCCTATGGTGAGTCTGAAATTATGTAATTATTCACAGCTTTATGAAGTTGACACACACGTGGAGGAACTCAGAGAGATGGTGGTCAGAAGATGCAGGTTTAGTTGAATTACTGATATTCAAATCTATAATTGCTACCTTTTATTTGCTCGATTTATTCTCTTTTTTACGATTGCTGCCTCCTGGCTTCTCTCTCCCAGGGTTTGAGGTTTTGTCTTGCATGACAGCTTCAAAAATTATGTCATGAAAATCTGGCAACCCAAAAAGAGAAAATCTGGTCAAATGTTTCTTACATATAATTTCGATTTTTTTATGTCATGATATGATTAGGTGGCTTTTCCATTCAATATAAAATCTGATTAAGTAGATCTTTATATTTTTAATCCTTGTTGACATATACCAACTGATGTTGTTCCCATATATTCCAAACTAGATTATCTATGCCCGTGCTTACGCATGGACCCAACAATCTGGATTCAGTCAAAGTGTGTTATCTTCTGTCTATGAATATGTTCTTATATGCCTTTTTTCAATGACATTATGGGCGGGGAGGGAGAAAGGAGAAGGGGATGTGACACTACTACTTCCTCTGTCCCAATTTATATGACTCACTTTCCTTTTTAGTCGGTCCCATAAATAATGACACATTTCTATATTTAATAACAATTTAACTTTTAAATGTCCATTTTACCCTTAATGAAATTATTTATAGCGACGAAAACATTTATGACTTATTTTAAACCACAAGTTTCAAATGTCTTTTTTTTTTCTTAAACTCGCTGTCAAGTCAAGCTAAGTCATAAACATTGGGACCGAGGGAGTAATAGTTAAGATGATGTTAATAAGTTTTGGTATTTCAGTTTGTTGCTCGATCAATATTAAACTTCTTTCAACCTTGCATATTGTTGGCAAGGTTCATTCTTATTTATACTCACTATTATGGTATTTTGAAAAGTTGTTTTTCCCCATTGGTTTTATATTGTTTACTTGAGCATAGCTATATTCTACCGACACCATTTGTTATTTTGGAAGTTCTTGTATTATACCTTTCTCCATAAATGACTTCAACTTTTATTCAATTATAGTCTCCAATTCTTGCACAAGGTAGAGGTAAGGTCTGCGTACACACCACCCTCCCTAGACCAACTTGTGGGATTACACTGGGTATGTTATTGTTTGTATAGTTATCAAATGTAATTTTCAATCTGCTTGTGGCAGCTTTCCTTACGAATTAGATATATTTTTCACGGTTAAAAGCCTGTAGACAAACAACCATCAATAATCGTTACATTGTATACTGATTAATTATTGAAAAACTTGTTTGAGAAGGAGAGGGGAACCCAAGATTTGAAGATAGGGGGGGGGGGGGGACTATTAAGAGTGACGCAAGGGTAAGGTTAGCATAGAACTTGTGGCCTCAATGGATATTCTTTCTCTCGGATTTGGTTTAAGTGATTGCAAATCAAACTCATCTATAAAACGCGAAGAATTGTCTCTAAAACTAGCACTTGGTTGAGAAGAATTATGTTTCGTCAAAAATCTATCCATTTCAAATCAGAAGAATCAACAACAAATTCTTACAAAAAAAATACGCTTAAAAAGAACTTACCAATTTATGCAGAGATAATAGGAGTAGGACTTCAATTATGCAGTGAAGAATACTTGTAAATTGTAAGTTGTAGAGTTTCTAGCAGTCCTATATTTTGTTTAGAATTGTGCTAGGGCTTTTATTTGTTTTTAATTTCAATTAAGAAAGGAATGGGGTCAAGCAATAATAGGGTGGTTAAGAAAGGGGGTGGGGCCAGATGAGGTGGCAAAAATGAGTTTTAATAAAAGCAATTTTAAAAAGGTTAACTCTAAAGAAAAAACTGATTAGAAAGTTAAAAAAACGTTACCTTTCGTGGGAATCGAACTCGCGCAGTCGCGGTTCGATATGGCGACTTCGACCAGTGCACCAAAGTGACTTTTGGGTATAAGGGTGCACAATCAAATATATTATCGTTTTATCAACTATCTATACATATATATACAAAAATTTCTTAAAAGTTACCGGGTGCACGTGGGTCCGCCTCTGTTGAGAATTACTTTAGTTGAAATAAAGTTCCCTCAGTAATATTCATCTTTTAATTTCAAAGGAAATTCATGTCCAAAGACAATTACTTTAACTTCCAAATATTTTATTTTCAATTTCACACCTTTTTTTTGTTTCAAACTCAATCAAATATTGTCCAAATACTTATAACAAATTACAATATTTTTTTTGTTAGATAATTAGAAAACAAAGTTAGCACACAAGGAGACATAAAATTAATAAAGAGTATCAAGATAGTAATATGGCAAAACAATGTTGGGTAAATAAATAATGCTTTCATTAACTTAAGTACTTCAATATTTTTAGTTGGAAACGAGACAGATTATGGTCTAGCCAAATTGACTCTAGCTACAATTAGTTAGGATGACAAAACTGACTGTGAGTTGTCAGTTGAAAAGACAATGTGGTGGTAATTAATGATGTAAGCGAAAGGGTAAATCTGTCAAGTCATCCAAATATTTGTATCACAACAACAGTAAATTATTATTTAGGACATAACATTGCTCCATTTTAGTGCATTTATAGAGATATCCTCCGGGTCCACAGAAATACCAGATTGCGTACTGAAACGATATTTCCGAAACTAAAAACAATCTTATGTTCTAGATAAGAGTCTCTTGAGCCAGCCATAGTTCTCAAAACCTTACAGTGCCATTTGTGAGAGGCTGAGAGCGTCATGCAGAAGAAAAATCTTGGTAAAAGTCTTTCAGCTGAAGATCCAGGATACAATTTTTTATAGAACTCTATTGGGAGTAGCTATGTAATACTCTTCTTGCATTAGGACATGAGATTCTCATGCTTGGAAACCAATAAGAACCGTACCTGTCACATTTTTAAAATGTGGTTATTTTCCCCTGATATTTCAGTATTAGTGAGATGTGATCACCAAAAACTGGTTGCTATTCAGTGGGCCAAGTTGCTTTTACTCTGGACTAACCAAGTTGGAACTTCATTTGAAATCTTGAATTTTTCTGGGATATGCAAATATAGCAGCTCTTGAAAGTGGCAAATAGAAATGGATGTTATGCAATTTAGTCACCATGACATAACTAACCCTATAAATACTCTCATTTCTCTGTTGCAGCAAAATTTTGATAAGTTCATTTCTCATTGATTTCGAGACCACACAATGTTGGCCAGCCTATTATGTGTGTTCAAGCTCAAGGCAAACATGGCCTTTTTCTCCATTGCAGTATGATAATTCTTCCTTCTTTAGCCATCTAAATTGATCCCTTGACACCAGGGGCTTCTCTAGTGCCGATTCCTTTTCGCCTGTGTTGATCCACAAGTACTTTCATGGATTCCTGTGAGATGTGAAATGCAACAATTGTTTATCTCGATTTAAGCTGAAACTAATAAATTGGTATTAAATGTATTCAATTGGGTTTAAGTTACTCTTCTGGACGGCCAAGTGATTTTTTCTGTCTGCAAATGGTATAGTTCTCCTCGGTCAACTTGGATATGTTTCACTTGGTGCTAAGACTTTCTATAGACAGTTTTTGGCTTGCAACAGAATTTGCAGGTCAACGGCTTGAATCACTATGTTGAAGATGGGAGTTTGATGATTTGTTGGTTTTATCTTGTGTTAGTGCTGTTTCATAGGTGAATCTAATTTCTGTACTTAATTCCCTGGTAAAAAGTGCATCTCTCTTTCAATTTGAATGTAGGTTTAAATTCACCTTTCCAATATCAATTTCTTATTCCAGCATCTATATTTAATAAGCATTGGGTCGATCTTAGCAATTTATCCATCTCTCTGACTTGGTGCTGGATGTGTGTTATACATAACCTCCAGATTAAAAAGAAGAAAGCTTCATCTTTTGGTGCCATTCGTCTGGAGAGCTCTCTTCATGCTTAAACCTTTTTCTGTGACCCTGCTACTGTAAACTTCATCTGATTCTAGTTTTTCTGTGGCACCAATGCTAGTTCTGCTCGTGTATGGCACCTATTCTAATTCTGAAATCATTACCTCAGGAAAATATCAATAGAGGAGAAGAGAAATCTAGGGATAGCTCTCACGAAGTTATCTCCTGATGATCTTAGTAAGGCACTGGAGATAGTAGCACAAAATAACCCACTATTTCCAGCTTCAGCAGAAGAGGTGGAACTTGACATTGATACCCAGGTTCTCATAAGACTTGAACATCTCCCCCATTCAAAAATTTATATATCACTTTTCAATATTCTTATCAGTAGTTTATTTTGTGGTTTCTGTAGAGCGAATTGACACTGTGGAGGCTAAAATTCTTCACCAAGGATGCATTAGAAGTTCATGGTAAGAGTTCAAGCAAAGGTGACAACAGTAACTCAGCCAATGTTGCTGCTGCTAATCTTAATATTAGTGCTGCCTCCAGAAGAAAAAGGGTGATTTGTGATGCACTTGTGAAGAATGCCAAGAAACGAAATAAAAAACCCTCTAAATGAATTTGTTTATGAAACGGGCTGCAGTATAGGTGTTTAGTTCATGTGTATCATCATCAGAAGAAAAGGTTTATTTGTCTTATCGCATTCATTCTCAAATGAAAGAATGAATGAGACATTTGATACTAAAAGTTGACTATTTTTCAAGCACTGTAGGAGGAAATGAAATGATGTTGGTGTTCAATATTTCTGTGAATATGTGACTTCCATTCTTTCGTATTTGGCTTGCCCTCAGTGAAGCTATTTTACAAAGAGGACTAGTCTTTCTATTAGAGAATACACTGATATTCATAATTGTGCAACAGAAAATAATTTATAATCTCCTAGGTCATTCAACCACCACCTTAAGATCTTTATTGGATGCTTAGATCATTTCATACGGTATCGGAGCTAAACTGTAGTGAGCTCACTTTTACAATGTTCCCTTTACATGTTTTATTCCTCTAAGCTTCCCCCTCAATTCAACCTATTAATTTGCTCTCTCTCTCTCTCTCTCTCCCTCTCTTTCCCTCTCTCGTCAAGTTTAATGTTCAACCATGATTTTGAAAAAAAAGATGCAACCTCAGGTTGAAATCCCAAGAGATGAGTCATATGTGTAGGAGGGTATTAAAGGATACCATTTTTTTTTCCACATTGGTCGTATGTTATTTGATTGCAGGAATTCACAATGAATTCGAGGATGGAAGCACTATTCAGGAGTTTCTCGAGAAAATAGTTAGTAAGGAAGAAGAATTAAGAGAGAAGAAGAGAGTTCTAGGAAGAGAAGAATTTTGTATTTTCATATGTGATTGTTCAATGAGTTAATTACAAGCTATATAGTAATTGAATTGAACTAAATTAAGCTCTTAAGCTAATAACACAATCAGTTACCAATTAACTGCTCCGAACTAACTTTCTGTAGCTAACTAACTATAATATTATATGATGTAATACTCATTTATAAGAGATTCTTGACCTCAAGGATCTATAATTTTCCCACCTGCTCCGCCAAGGTTAAAGTCATTTTCATAGTATTCATGTGCCTGTTCGGAGCTATTGATACCTGCAAAAAGGTCATCCTTTCTGCCCAAAAGATGCAGTCCCTTCGACAGTCGGACTCGTGTTTCAGAATAAAGGGTACGGAGAGCGGAATAACATAAACAATTGATTGTAACGGTAGAGCCCAAAAGATGCAGTCCCTTCGACAGTCGGACTCGTGTCTTTTCAAGTGAAGGCGTAGAAAACTGTAACGGTAGAAATTGAGTGCATCCCTTCCCCTTGAGATCACCCTTGTTCTTAACTACGAAATATAAACTAGAAATTTGATAATTGGTGACTTCTAAATGTGCAACATTGTGCCAGTTCGCAAGGTACATCATATTGGTCATACATTCTCATCCTCAACATTATTGTTTTCTTGTTCCCACTCACATCCCAAGTTGCCAATGATAGAAAATCATCAATCCATACTTTTACTATTTCCTCTACAGTTAGTATTGGTTTTTCCTCTATTATTAGAAAGAGCAATTTCTCAATCTCTTAACATTGACAAGTCTTCTTATTACTCTCCAAGTTTAACCAAAAATCATATGAAGTCATGATCTTTGAAAGAATTGTATCAAAACAAGCTTTCCACGAGAGCACTTCTTTCCAATCACTATCTAAGAATTTTTTTTATCCATATAAACACCTCAGAAATTGAAAAAGGGAAGAACTTCATGTTTTTGCTATTGGTTGTATCCTATGAAATCAGTCTACAGTTCATAGAAGTTTCTACGAGTCGTAGATGACACTCGTAGGAATGAGGTTGAGATTAGGGAAAAATCAAGTTTATGAAGTTTGACCTATGAGTGAACAAGACGGGTCGTCGTTTGTACTACGGGTCGTAGATGAGTTTCGTAGAAGGGTCCCAGACTTAATGAAATATTGATCTTGAACTTGAATTCTACCAATTGGCTGTATGAGCCGTAGAAACTTCCGTTGTAGGAAGGTCTCGTGGAAAGTTATGTGAATTTGGATTTCTAAAGTTGGTTCTACGGTTGACTAGTACGGACGGTAGAAAGTTCTTTTACAGTCATTAACGCTTCAAGTCATTAGAGCAAGGTTCCAAGAGGAGAAAAGCTAGGGTTCAAGCGTTCTTCGAGTTTCGTCGATTTCACTAAAGAACTTCGTTCTTCTAGGTATGTAAGGCTATCATAGTGTTGGACTAGTTCGTCCTCACACCCCCTACATCTACTTTCAAATCAGTAAAAGAATAATCTATGGTTCTATACTTAGATTTGAGTATTCTTCAGATGAGTTGATATGGAGTTCTTGAGTTGTTGATTATTAAATTCCTATTTCTAATCATTGAATTGTCGTACATTTTGTATTGCCATTATTGAGTTGATTGTTTATGTCTATTTTTCAGCATGAACCCTATTCTTGAGTATTCATTGAATTCTTAATGAGAATCTTTTAAGCAAAACATAATTGTTTAAACTGAGTTTTGAGGAAGTAATAAAGAGGAGTTTGAGAAAGAGTGTAAGGGAACTAAGTATTTCCCAAATGTTTTATTTTTTACATGAAGAAAAGGAGTACACTTTCTTTTAGAAAAGTTAAAAGAGTTTTCAGAAAGATTGAATACATAGTAGTTACCTCTTAAAGAGGCCCCTTTTGAGTAATTATCTCAACCCAGAATGCATTTTTACATTGAGCAAAGAGAAACCTTATTTTCTAAATGAGCAATGAGTTTCAGAGATATTTCAGAGCACTTACCTCTTTTTAGAGGATAGTTTGAACAATTATATCAAGCCAGAGAAAGAATATGTTTTTATACATTTGAGCAAATAGTATATAATATTGAGAGTACTATTGAACACCGATATGGGAGAGAGTTCAGACAACTCACAGCCCCCATAAACCATGTCTTGCCAACATGGGTACATGATCATACTTTTTAGATGAATCCTTAGTGCCTTCGGGCAAAGCTTAGTGAATCCACTTAATTGAGCGGTTCTATATCCTGACACGATATATGACAGTTCTGACAGCGTGGACAAGACGATGTATCATCACGTAGCTCATAGTGATGGTTGTCGGTTGAGAATCTCTCAGTAGAGTTAAAGTGTAGTTTAAATATATCACTTATTATGTTGAAGTTCAGAGATGAGAGTATTTTGTAGAGTTAAGTGATTTCATTCCTTTAATTCTTTACATTCAATTGAGTTTATGCTATATCTATTGCAGTCCTTTCATTCATTTATTTTGTCTCGGCTATATGACATACTTGTGCATTTAATGTACTGATGTCATTCAACCTGCATCTTTTATGATGCAGATACAGGTGTTCAGGATCATCAATAGGCATTTCGTTGAGATCACTTTGCGCTTCAGATTTGGTGTGCCTCCTTGCTTTCCGGAGGATTTCATATTTATTTTCCTATTCTTGTTGAGTTGTCGTGGGTCTTGTCCCGATATCTATCCTAGTATTAGAGGCTTCATAGATAGTTAGAGTTGAGGAGTTTCTCAATATTTCTCTTTTATTTTGAGATGTTTTGCAAACTGTTTTATTTATAACATTGAGTACTTCCAGTCTTTGAGTTAAGTCTATTTGAGATATATGAGTTAAGCTCTACATATAAAGCTTCTTTCTGTTTGAGTGAGTCTTCTGCTAAATAGTTAGAGAAGCTAAGGGTTAGCTTGGGGATTAGAAATGGTTCTCGAGTGTCGGTCACGTTCAGGGTGTAGGCTCGGAGCGTGACACTCGGGACCTCTCAAAAATCAACCAAGACCTCACCTAGGACCAGTGGCGTACGCAAGATTTTTTGTAAGTGGTGTCGATATTTAAAAATAAATAAATAATAAATAATTGATATAAAAATATTAAATTAATAAAAATTAATTAAAAATGTACTAATAAAATATAAATCAAGTAAACTACTACAACTCTCCTTGACGAGTTTTCATATTTTGAAATGTATTCATAATAGCTTCATTGGGGATAGTACTAAATATTTCTTTCTCTATATAAGGCACCAAACAACCACTCAAAAACTCATCATCCATTCGATTTCGTAAATCAATCTTAATCAACTTCATCACCGAGCAAGCTCTTTCAACTGTAGCAGTAGCCACCGGTAAAAGTAAAGCAAATTTAACTAGGCAAAATACAAGAGGATAAGTTTTGTGCTTCTTCATCTCTACGAGTATCTTGGAAAGATTAGAAAGTCCCTTAAGACCGAAGAACCTTTTGTCATGATCTCTAACATCAACAATGTAATTTTCAAGCTGAAAGCGAAGGTCAACTATAGAGTATTTATCAAAATCATCAGGGTATAACTCAGTCAATCTCAATAGCTTTTCCATCTCAAAGTTAGAAAAAGAATCAACTGGGTTCAAGCAATCTATTCCCAGAAGCAAATCAATTGTCACCTCATCAAAGCGATTATAGAGTTCTTGACGTTGCCAATCAATAATTTTATAAAATACTTCAACTCGATAGTGATGTAAAATAGTATACTCAATAATTCTACTACGTGATCTTCCACGGATAACATAAAACTCATCAAATTTAGGTATCAAAATATCATATTTGATACAAAACTTAGATACCTCATTCATAAGTGAATCCCAACTTTCATCTCGTAGTTGTTGCAATCGATTCTTTGCCACTCTAACGAGTAACATGGCATTGCAATGTCTTGCTCTTTCTTTTGAAAAGCAGCATTTAGATCATTTGTAATTGCTAAAACAATGCGCATGAAATGCAACATGAAGACAACATCAAATGTTAAACATTCTATAAGATATCCTTTTGCCTTACATTTCTCTTCAAAACGAGTATTAACAGCAATAGCATCAAGTACATCAATGATAGGACCAAACATGAGGATAAAATTGTTAAAAGATTTGTAATGAGATCCCCACCGAGTATCACCTGCTCTAGCAAGACCTAATTCTTGATTCAAGCCCTTACCAGTTTCAAGTTCACCTTTATGTAATGATTTTTCAATTTCTTTTGCTTGAGCTTCGCGAAGTTCATCTCTACGCTTGAAAGAAGCTCCCACCATATTTAGTATATCAAAAACCAATAATAAAAGTTCTTGCACTTCATCACATCTTCTAGAAATCGCAACAAGAGTTAATTGAAGTTGATGAGCAAAAAAATGAATAGAATGAGGACCTTTACTTTCTTGTTGCATCAATTTTTTTAGCCCATTTATATCACCTTGCATATTACTTGCTCCATCATAACATTGTCCACGTATATAAGACTGACTTAAAGAATGTTGAGTAAGTAAACCAATAATTCCATTCTTTAAAGACAAAGCAGTAGTATCACGAACATGAACAATACCAAGAAATCGTTTCATCACACTTCCCCTTCTATCAACATATCGTAAGACAATAGCCATTTGCTCCTTACATGAAATATCACGAGATTCATCAACTAAGATGAAAAAGTGATCATCATTTAAATTCTCAATTATACACTTAATTGTTTCAATCTTACATGCATTGATAATATCTTTTTGAATATGTGGAGAAGTTAGTTGATTATTCTTTGGAGCTTTTTTAAATGCATTGTCAATATTATCACATAGCTTCGCATACCAAGTAAGGATCTCAATATAATTACCTCTATTAGAAGAGGATACATCTTCACGATGGCCCCGAAATGAAAATCCTTGCTTCAAAAGATATCTTATCACATTAATTGCATCTTCCAAACGAGTACGATATTCTAACTTTTCCTGATAAGATTTTTTAGCAAATGCACTTTGAATGGATTGCTTTTGTCTCAATAAATCTTCACAATTTCGTCTTGATTGATTATGAACACTGTTTGGCTTACCAATATGCACATCAAGATTGTGATTCTTATTCCAACTTGTAAACCCTATGGTTGAAAATACATCGCCTCCTCCTTGATTAATGCTTTCATCTTGAAACAAATAACAATAGAGACAAAATGCTGCATCTTTTGTTACACTATACTCCATCCAATCATACTCATGAAACCATTCAGCATTAAAATGACGTAAGTCACCATAAAAATCCTACTGAGGAAATTGATGATTTTTTGGTTGAAAAGGACCATTTTGAAGATACATTCTTCTTACTGCATCACGCTCATTCGGATGATACTTTCAAATTGGTAACCTTTCTCCGGGTCAAATTTTAAGGAAGTTAAATCAACTCTTTCACTTTGTCGACCTTGTTCCTCATTACCGTTTTCTTCTTCTAAGTTAACAGAATTTTGAGGTGTTGAACTTGATTTTGAAAGATTGCAAGATACTTTAGAATAATATCTCTCCATTGAATTGGTCTGAATTACAAATTTAAATAAATTAGATAACTCTAAACAATTTCAAGAAATTAAATCTATAAAAGTTGATATTTCAAGAAATTTCAATGAAAACTAAAAAGATGGGAGATAAAAAGAAAAGAGAACTTACAATTAAAGAAAAAACGACAGTAGCATCAAGCTATCAACGCAGACCGCAACGACACTTAAATTTGAAGGTTTCTTTTCAACTTAAATTTTACTTTATAACTTATTATTGTATCCAATTCTGATTTGAATAAGTAATAAAATTTCTATAGTGGGTTATATGTAGTATTCTAGTTTAACTAGGTTGTTTTAGCCTAATTTGAGTAGGAATATGGAGGTTGGAGGTTGGAATCCTTCTTAAACTTTTCTCTTTTTCTCTGAAAAAACGCTCAAAAATTAAAAGCAAAAAAAGCACCTAATGAGATTCGAACTCGGGTGTGTTGAATGACATGACAACTTCGTTCGCGGCGTGAACCAACGAGCCAAGGCGCTTCCTTGTTCAAGGAGTGTTATTTATAATATTTACAGTTTTGTTTTTATTTTTTCAGATATATATATATATATATATATAACTACTAAAAAAATTCAACGAAGCCGTGTCGGGTGACCCCCCTTGATATAAGGTGGGTCCGCCCCTGCCTAGGACTAAAATCATCCCCCGAATCCAACGGAACACTCGAAATTTCGATCCAAGCATCTGAACCCCAAATGTTGACCAAAGTCAAGTAAAAGGCTAAATTTCCAAAATTTCATAACTTAGGACCTCAAATTCTCAAAAAGACTCTGAATCTGAAACCGAAAACTCTCACCGACCATATCCCATATTCAAGAATTAATGAAATCGACGAAATTCCATTCCAACACTCGAAACTCCAAAAGACTTCAAAATCACTTTTAAGTAATTCAGCCTTTCAAAATCACAAACTAACTCAAGTTCTCAATTTATTACTCAAATTTCGAAAGCGAATTTTCAAAACTTAAACATAAAAGACTCGGGGTCACGATTGGGAGGGGCAAAAAGGTAAATTCATGAAACTTTCCAAAAATAATCGATCGGGTCATTACATATTTTTGATTTTGGTACATGGAGCAGTGGTTCAAATCTTTTAAGATACCAATAATTTCGTCAGAACTTTAAAGTACCTGCACTACCGGAAAGTTCAAATCTATTATAAGATAATCTCAAATATGCATGATAAATGAGAAATATTAGAAACTAGTGGGAGATTGTTGGATAATTTGTAATAAATAGAGTCTTGAATTGAACAAACAAATCTGTTCATAAAAGAATATGACTATTATGAAGTCATATGTACATGAAAAAATATGACTATTATGAAAAGTCATATGTTCATGAAAGAACAAGACTATATTATGAAAAGTCAATTATTAAGTTCTATAAATATAAAGACTCTCTAGAAGTGGCCAATAGAAAAATCTGCAAGTAAATTCAAAGGCTTTGTTGTATCCAGAAGGAATTTGTTTGAAGTTACCCCAATATGTATATAAGCAATATCTCTTTAAAGAAAATGATTCTTCATGCCTCAAAGTTATCTTCTTCTTCAATTTATACTTCCTATTATTTTTCTAACAGTAATCGATATTGGCTAAAATGTTTTAACAACATTGACCAATCAAATCTCAGGAAACTACACTTAAATGACCACCAAAGAAAGGATGTGGTGCAATCAGAAGTATACTATTTGAACCCTAAATATAAAAAAATTCTTGGTATGGAGTGCTTCCTCTGAATGGGACCCTACGCAGCGCAAATCAGAATAGTCGGGATTCAATACGAATACCGAACACCGAATGGAAAACCAAAAAAGAAAAGGTTTAAAGTCAACTTGTTAGATTTCAAAACTTATCATGCAGAGGTCAAAAGTTCAAGTGTAATCACCCATCAAATCTTCAGCGTGCCGATTGAGAACATTGTGGCAGTGGCCATATCTGACAACTGGTATATAAAATTCTGTTGTTGGAAAATCAAAATTGATCTTTTACAAGAGCAAAAGAGAAGATATCAATCAATTAATTAATCATGCCTCACTCCAAAACAGGAAGTGATGGCATAATATGACACCTTACCATCCATTCATACCATATTGTGCAATGCAAAATGATGCTTTCAAGTGGAATACAAACTGATATTGCGCATTTCCTTATTATTAGAAGTCAAACATCATGCGCAAATCCAATTCAAGGACAATTCCTTTTATTGGGTTTATGTGCATTGTTGGGACATACATGTACATAAATAAGATGTAATTTGTTTCGATGATGATTGGCACAAAGAACTTTAGGCTGACTAACTGGTGGCAGACATCCAGTGGAGGCTGCATTCTACCCAAGCCATCATCACTCTTCAGTAATGGTCTATCATTAGACGTTCCCGTGGGGAACATTAGTTGCCCCCTCTCCTTGATCCAAAGGCATATATTGTGCCATGATGGCACGAATCTCTGAGTCCATGTATCTCTGCACATACAAGGTTCCAGGATTTAATGAAAAGGTGAAAGCAACATTGAACAAGAAAACACGCTAGTGGATATCATGCTAATTCCAAGAAAGGAAAAAACTGCTTGAACAGAAAAGATGAATCTGTCCCAAAGATGGTGATCGGGGAGAAATACGACATAAGAAAGAAACCTTTAAACACCTCTCTGAGAATCAAAGAAAGAAACCCCACTCCAAAAACTTGATATTTACTCAAAAAGTTCTTTCTTGCTTTTATTATGTGGTGGGATTTGGAGGCACATCTCATTCTGGGGATATTTTCACTAGACTTGAGTGAAAGATTATAACTGGGATTTGTGGTAGAACAAAAGGAATTTGCTGGCCTTCCCATCAACCATGTATATTTAAGGATCGAACGACTTCAACAGGTAACTCAAATGCAAAATCCTAGAAGATTTGTCTTGTCTAAGTATTTATAAATTCCCAAATCACTTTCTAACATCATTAGTTCTGAAGATCATACGTTAATTACTATGGAAAAACTGGTTAATTAGCACCAGCATAACATTTCAAATGCTTTTACTTCTGTGTTTTCAACAGGTAACAGTTGTCTGTCTTTGATGAAATTAAGAACATTGTACAATGACATACCCGGATTCTATACTTGTACACAGCATATGCCGAAACCCCTGCAACAGCCAAACCCAAGATGATAGTCCAAACAAGGCCCCAGCTGAACTCTGACTTGGCATCTTTGCCTGCAATTTCTCCAACAAACTTAGTCGCAGAAGATATCGACAGACATGCAACTTTGGAAAAAAGTAGATCAAATTCTTCGGTATGCAGTTGGCAAAATTCTATTACATTTAAATAAGCTAAATCATGCTAATATCAGAAACATCACATATAAAAACTAACCTATTTTAAAGAAACATCATATTATGAAACTTAACTACCTTCACCAAAGCCAAGTATATAAGAAACCCTATGTCTACCATTACAAGTATATTTTCATTACATTGATCATTACATTGACAGCTTCTAAACTTACTTATACACGTGTCATGTTCATGCATGTACAACAAATTGGCGTTGCAACTGCAATCATAACTACCCCAAGTGTTCTTGCATTTGCACTCAGCACACTGGCAAGCCAACTTCTCCTTGCATTCATCAATATCTGAAGAAGGGCCAAAATTGAAATGAACTTTAAGAATAACAAGATAATTGTTCAACAGAAGTGCTATAAAACAGAGAGCAAAACTACTCAAACTCCACCTCGATCACTTATATTGATTAATATGTTCCTATGCCAGGAAGCTAAGTTGTGTGGACTCTTCACTTTTGATACTGCACCAGTGTCAGATTCTCCAACAATACATTACTTTTGGAGAATCTCTTTAGGAATCCAACACGCACCCGCTGACATTTTGGTGAAGAGTCCGAGCAACATAGACAGGAAGTTGAAAGATTTGGTCTCTTAGAAAGAAAAAGGTGCAAATATTTTTGGGGCAATTAAACAGACACAGACAAAATCCAAAGAAATAAAGAATTAAACGCTGAAATGTTTCCAGGAACAATATATGTCGACAGATTGATACATAATGAACAATTCTACATACCCTCACAACTGTTAACTCCATCCCCTTTGAATCCTGGTGGACATTTGCAACCCTTTGTGTGATCGTCCTGACAAGACAAGGATATGACAAATAATGCCTCTGTATACAGAAAGTCATTTGAGATAAATGCCTAATGAACCCAAGAAAAAAAAACATCTTTAACTTTGGAGCACTGCTCAAGTAAAAAACAAAAAAGAAAGGAAAGGGTTAGGGCATCCCACAAAAGAATGAGAGCTGCTATGGAGGACAGTTCAAAAGGTAACACTAATCGTGCTTTAATAAAAAACTCTTACAATGCAAGCAGAATATGCCCTGCCATTTTGGGTTCCCTTCCAACAGCCTCCATTGTTTATTTCACACCGCAATGCTCCAGATGCTGTCAAACCATGTCAAACCACAAGCTCAAAAGATTAGTCTATAAAGACAACATGCATGCATCACAACAACACCAATTTGTGTGTGAGAAAAAAAGATGACAATTAGTGGATGAAAAGCTTACCTTCACAGTGAGTATAACCATCACCAACAAATTTTACTCCCTGAACTACTGGGCATTCACATACTCTACCACGGAAAGTATCCTGCATCACAATTTTGTACATGGATTGGAAATTGAACTAGAAGCAAATAAATCTGGAACTTCACAAAATGAGGCTTATCGTATAAACAGTCTTTAGACAAATAACTCTACCTGGCATGCTGTAATGTTAGCAGTCTTGTCCTGCCAGCACCCACCATTTGATTCTAAGCATTCATTTGTTTCTATTTCTGCAAAACAAGTATTAAAATCAACTTTTGAATCACCTTGTTGGAAGAACGCATAAACTACAGACTAGCTGGTCCTTAAGACCTGTTCTTTATTTTTTTTTATCAGGTAATCTGAGTTTTATGTAGCAAAGTAGCTAATGTAGTTTTTGTCTCATCAGGTTAAAAGTAGAAATATGTCGGGTAGGCAAGCACATCTGCAAGAATTTATACCGGCAATGTTTCTCATATATTATAATTTCACTAGTATTTATACCGGCAATGTTTCTCATATATTATAATTTCACTAGTCTTTGCAACCAAGAAAACGATTCAACACCATTGGAGATTAAAAAGAACCGAGGAAGATTCCACCAGTAAGAGATATCTCTTTCGGACTTCTGTCCCATCTTAAAGAAAAGTCACAAACAGCAACAAGCTGATACCAAATAATTGCTAGCCTTCAAGACAGAGAAAAGATCAAGGAAAATGACCTTCAGTTAAACAAATTGCAGGCTCGGTTGTCTCCTCAAAACCTGAACAAATTGCCTTGAGGACTGCTCCCTTGTCCAGCTTACCTAAGATGAAGACAAATATGCCAAAATAAGAATCTTTCTATTTAAGTCAAAACACAATTTCCCTCTAAATCAAACAAGGTATACCTCTGTACTGTCTATTGTTTATAACGAGAGTTGGCAAGATAGTCACATCTCCACGAGAGCCCTTACCTATCTGGAAAGAAGCAATATGAAAAGTGAAAATTCAACTCAACATAGTCTCAAGAGGCAATATAGAAGATCTGTTCTATCACTTCTGTAGGACACACACCTGGGTGTCCTGTTCAGCCTTTAGAACAGGGTTGTCAGTATCTGCTTCAGGATCTCCAACACAATTTTCAATCTGTTTGACGTCAAAGCCTGCAGAGTCCATTAAAACAAAAAGGAAAATTCAAGACATCATTTCAAGTTCCTATAAAGAGCAAGGAATATTAATTAATGCAGAAGAACCACATAACAAGGAAAAAAAAATGTAAAGTCATCACAACATTGACCTTAGCCCAGAGAGAAAAAGTGGAGGGTGAACATGTGGCCCATTTTTGATACTTGAATGGTTAAGTAAAGGAATTAGTATTAAAAGTGCATAGAAAAACTATCACGTGCTATCGTGATCTCTTATTATCATACATAACTTTTCGGTATACTATTGTCAATTGAACTATTAATATGAAATCAAAAATAGCATGCAAGAAAGAACAATTATTCAACTGTGTATACTTTTTTTATTGCACTCAAAAAAATCCATCTAAGTTCAAGCAGGATAAAAAATATATGAGACCAAGTTCAACAAAACTAAGATCTGTTGATAGATTATAAACAGTGCACAATAATAATGATATTTTCTAGCTCTCACAGCTCATACAGAAGGATGGAAAGACAGAAACACCACCAGTAGCAATGAATGATCAGCACCACAACCTTAAAAGAGAGAGGAAATATGGATTGTGCTAAACTTATGGCTTCATCAACTCTAAATGTACAACAGTAAAGCAATGATGCATCAAGTGAAAAACACCAACAGAAATATGAAAGGAAAGAAACTCCGACCTACCAAGTGACTTGATTACTTGATCAGCACATTCTTTTGTGTATTTCTTCTCTTTCATTGGACACCGTATTGCAAAGTCAGTGACATAATCCCACCACAACCAGGGTTTTCCACTTTCATTTGCAACCTTAAAAAAGCAAGCTTGACGTAAATTTTGCAAAACAACATCCTTTCCATCATAACCTTTACTGAAGTCCTGCTCAGGGTCTGGAGCACAGTATCTTCCATGGTTGATGCACTGAGACTTGCATTGCTTGCTCAAAATAAACGCTTCCGGGCAATACCAAGTTATATAATGGGGACTAAACTGTGTATAACCTTTCTGCTCAAGTATCTGGGCAGCCCCCTTGAAGGTTTTGACAAACTTTCTCTGGCTTTCACACTTGGGGCCACACTCATCGTTACTATTGGTCCAAAATTCGTACTCCACTCGATCGTCAGGATGTGGAAGAGCCTCTCTCCAATCGAGGTTTATGTTAACCATTTCTCCTTTAGATAGTTCCTTCTTAATGCTATCCCCAAGTGATTTGCTAATTATAGCCGATGGAATAGTTATATCTTGCAAATAATCTGCCTTTGCATCCTCTTCCTCAGGGGTGTCCATGGTAATTAAAGGTTCAACACGGTCATCAGCAACAAGAATAGCACCTGCTCCAGCTTGCTGAGCATTCCAAGCCTTCAGTGTGAAAAAGCAATCTGCCAATACAGGAAAAACCATAGGCACCAACAAAGAACAAGAAAACACAAGTGAAATGTAAGAGGATAAATAGTATATACTCTTATATGTTTATGTAAGTGGATACATTGTGTAAATTTGTTTCAAGTTATAATAAGTTAACAAGCAAAACCATTCCAAATACAAAAAAACAGGCATAAATAATACTCCCCGATTGTTCAGTGCAAGAGCCAAACAAATACATGCTCACAGCTGCATTACACTATTTAGCTTCAAAAGACCTCTGATTTATGTTTCTCTGAGCACTAGTCTCCTTTTTCTCTTTTGGGGTTAGGCAATTTTTAGAAAAGAAAAAAAAGTAGAGGCAATTCTTCCCTAAAACAGGCAGCATAAATTTGTCCTGTTCTATTAACATCCAATTATGTAGGCAGAAATGTGATTTAAAAGGAAGTAGGAATGTCATCAAAAGTTTACCTCCTCTATCAACAAGAAGGAAAACAGGCATGCCACCAGGCTTAGATTTGTAGAAGATATCAAAATCTGAGAAATTCTTGCATGATTTTTGATTAGTTTTTGGGTACATAACATTACCAACCATGGTTCCTCCATACTGTGGTACCCCAAAGTTGCCAATTGCACACTCATACACCTCTTTGATTGAGTCTGGTGATGTTACTCTCAAGCTGTTCTTCTCCACCACAAATCTTCCCATACAACAACCACACAACACAAACCATATACACACTAAAAACCCTACCTTCATCTTCACTTCTTCCCTCAGATGGAGAAAAATAAAGATGACCCAGATCAGCTAAACCCCTAAAAACTGCAAATTTACATGAAAAATCAAATCTTGATGTCACCCAGATCAAAGCATTCAGGTGAATAATTAATTAATACTGTGAAAAAGCTCCAGTCTTTGAACAAGTAAAGGGAAGAAATTACAAAAGGGATGTAATGGTAATGACCAAAGCACTCTGAGACGTGTAAAATGTGCTAAACTGAGGAAAGCTACATGTATATAAATTTTTTTTTAATATATATAAGAAAATATCATCACAGACACAGATATTTGCTTTTGTCTATATTTAGAGTTTTCGCTTTCGCAGTAATTAACGTTTGGATGTGGATGAAAATAGTCGTTCAAGATTGGAGTCATAATTAGTTACGTCCACAAGAAATAAACCGTTATACTAAGATTATAATTATTGAATTTTTAATTTTTATTTTTTTTGAAATTTCTCATTTTATGTTTATATATCCAGGTTGAAGCTTCAACTAAATTCGAATATTACATTATAGGACCCATTTAGGGTGACACTCCCAACAATTTTTTTTTTTCTACGATCTTTGAATTAGATTGGAGTGAATATGTAGTAAAATATGTGTTAATAATTTTAGAGATATTATTTTCAATTTTACACGTGTTGTAAAAATATAGGAATAATTTTAAGGATGTCATTTTCAATTTAGCATCATACTACTTTTTCTTTTTAATTTGTGATATTAAGCTTGTTTATTTACAAGTAAGGTTTTGAGGATAATATAATCGAATTCGTCTGAAGCAACAAAATAAAAGAATAATGCTGAAAATGAAGAGGAAAAATTAAGCAATCACACACACACAAACACACACACACACATATATATATATAAGGTGATGTGACGCCTCTCTATGACCTCCATTTCTATTTGTTTTTTTTTCTCTTTTTTTTGGTTTTTTTCTTCATTTTTTCATTAAATAATTTGTTTATTAATTAAAAAATTCAATCATATTTACTATTCTAATTATATCTAATAAGTTACAAAATAACCTCCATCTATTTACATTCCCTAATTAAGTAACATGTCTCTTAAACTCCTTTCTAACTATTCTTATGATTTACACCATCTACAAATAACAATTATCTATAGATATGTTGAATGTTCATATTCATTTTCTCATTCTTTCTTTTTTATAAGAATAGTTTTTTTTTCTCTTTTTAATTTTTTTTTCATCTTTTTCATCATCATGTACTTAATAATGTCATCACATGGTCTTTATTTTGATAAAGATCATACATATATTCTTCAAAAAATCATCACATAGATTATAGATATATTTTTGCAAGATTCATCATATGGATGTTCACATTAGTTTGGTACAAGTTCATCAAAATGAAGAAGGAAGGTTAATTATCTTGAAAGATTTCATCAAGAGAGATAATCACATCAGTACAAGATTTTGAATGGTTTCCAAATATTTTGAATTCCTTTTGTTCAGAAAAAATTAAATTTGAACAAAAAATTAAATTATGAAACTCTCCTAACCAACTTAAGAAAGCTCAATTAGCATTTCTTTTACTCACTTAACTTTGAAGATGAAAAGTTATACGGTTTATTTTTGTGTATATCTATTTGTCAATTTTTAATTAATATTTCAAAATTGTTGTTGATTAAACGTTTCAAAGACACTTCATTCAATTCTAAGTGTCAACGATTGCTAGTCAGTATAAAACCCAACTAAATGAGTTGGGGTCGAATCCCACAGGGAGCGGTACGTGTTTAAGATTCAATAGGAAAGTGTGAACATAGTCAAATTAGTCATAGGAATAAAAATTATCGAATAAAAACATTATTCAAATCAGGGGGTGACACGAATGTCAAATGAGGGGTACTCAGACTTTTCCCATTAGGCTCAGACCCATAAGACCCATGCCACTAGGGTACTTAGACTTTTTCCGATTTGGCCAAAATTGGCCATTTGACGACTTAAGCCCTTAGGAATGACGTCAAACGCTCCATCATTGGGCAAAGCATATCATTTAGCACAAATATGGGTTACTCAGACTTTACCTGACTAGACCCAACAACAATTAAGCACAACCCAACAATTTAGATCAATTTTAAAGCACGAAATTTGGGAATCAGCAATTAAGCATTTTAGGCATGATATTGAAATTAAATCAGCACACAAACAAGGATTCAGAGAGGCCCAACACACATAATTAAAAACAATACAATTGCAAATGAGTATAACCGCTAAATGCGAGTTCGAGGTTCAGAAAACCAATCCTTAATGCCAAATATAAGAATTTGTAACACTAGGCGGCAAAGTGTCCAACTCCAAACACAAGATCAACAACCAAAAAGCAAGAAAATGTGGGAAAAGTAGGCAATATAGATTTCGGGTGTGATTATAGGAAGTAAAAAAGTGAGGGAATGTGAAAGAGTTTGAACTTTTAAACCTTTGGTTTTTTAAAAACCGTCTAGTTCTCTCCCTTTCAGCGACATTAATTTTCTTTGCCGAACCACTCGGCGACACGCCGAGTGGGTACTTTTCTCGCCGAGTTTTACAAGACCTCCAGTTAATGTGGGGGTCCAAACGGCGGACTAAGTCGGGATCGGCGACCTGTTCGGCGATCCGCCGACTAGTCCATGGCTCGCCGAGTTTTACAGACTCCAACTTCATAATTTCTTGAGTTCAACAACAGTTCAAGTCGGGCTCGCCGACCTCTTCGATGAGTCGTCGACTAGACATTTTCCTCGTCAACCTGCATATTTCAAACACATTCCACTTTTTTACCTGCACAATTAACACACGATTATTCTATGAACACAAAGAAAGCAATAAAACTTGGGTTGCCTCCCAAGAAGCGCCTTAGTTAACGTCGTGGCATGACGTAAGTCCTCATTCAAGCTTCATTTTTGGGGTTTGCCCTAGGACCACTAGGCAACCCCTTTTTTGTCTCGAGTAGAGATGAGATAACATATGACCCATTTGGGTCTCTAGTAGCTGAATCGACACAGAATGAGAGGCAGTCATCTGATTTAGCATCGAGACATTCTCTTTTATCTCTTTCAATACTCTATCGTGTTCTTTGACTTTGTGATGAATGAGTAAGAGCACCTCTTCTATCTGCCCATCCTCATACTCCTTAGGTATTCTACGCTCGTGAGGGGGAATGTACCTATCATTTTTCTTATACATTACTTTTAGTTTCATAATCTTTTTGGCCAAGAGATCCAGTTGATTCAACAATGTGGCCAATTCTTGGTCCTTCTTTGTCTCCTTGTTGGTCTTGGTCATGTGATCAAGGAGTTGGGTTGCTGTTGCTATTGCATAGGGTAGTCGTGTGAGACCACTTGGAGAAATTTGGTCATCCACTCCTCTGTTCTCAGGACCAAGACCTCTATAGTAGCAGTCCAGTAACATTTTATCTGAGATTTCATGAGTTGGACATTGTAGCATTATTGTATTAAATCTCAGCCACAACTCATGAATTGACTCACTCTCCAATTGCCTGAAATTTAGGATGTTATCCCTAAGAATCATAATTTTTGAAAGAGGGTGGTCCACGTGGTTAGCGTTGCTACAAGACATGCTCCTTTCTTCTGTTCTAAACAAGCAACATACAAACCAAAACTAAAAATAAGTGGATTCAACTATAACACAAAATTCAACTTCACCAAAAGAATCTTAACCAACACCACTCCCCGGCAACGACGTCGTTTTGATTAAACGTTTCAAAGACACTTCATCCAATTCTAAGTGTCAACAATCGCTAGTCAGTATAAAACCCAACTAAATGAGTTGGGGTCGAATTCCTCAGGGAGCGATACGTGTTTAAAATTCAGTAGGAAAGTGAGAACATGGTCAAATCAGTCATAGGAATAGAAATTATCGAATAAAAATATTATTCAAATCAGGGGGTGACACGAATGTCAAATGGGGGGTTTTGGTTTGAAATTATCAACTACAACAATAGCAAACAATACGAAATAACAATAGTGAGACGGGTTCTTGGGATGTGATTCGATTATAGGCAAATATAGACAAATGGATAATTGCAACTATTAGAAAATAGGTAGATATTAGTGAGTAAGCTAGACTATAGAAGTGGTTAGCTTTCTCTCGAACAATTTACCCCGAATCAAGTCGATTTCTCTCGAACATCGACAAACATGCAAAATAAGAACAACCCACACCTTAGTCCATTCACTCTCTCGAGCTGATGTGTGGAATTGGGTTTAGGATTCATTCTCTCGAGCTGAACCCATGACAACCCAATACCCAGAGACAATCAATCAATAATCTTAGTTTTAAAACCTCTCTCTCGAGCAAGCCAAAAACATAAGGGTAGAACTACATTTGCAACTACAATTCTTAAATTAAACCACAATTAATGATTGAGCTCACTTCTAAACAATATTTAAACTAACAATTAGCAATATCCATAAACTAAATCAGCCCATAATCACATAATCACAACCCAAGAATTGGGGTTTTATCTAGACATTATAAAAAGATAAAAATTGTTACCAAATTGAGTTTCCATCAACTAGGTAAGATTGTTTTCGTCGTTACAATGGTCTAAGTTGAAGAATCTCAAAGACCCACTTCCAATTTCTCAAAACTGAAAAACTTCAATTCTTTAAAACTAAGGAAAAGTAAAGAAAACTTGTGTCTCAGTTCAAAACTTAATAATAGACTAAAATTATGATTTCAGATACTATTCAGAATGAATAATGATACTAAACTAAATGTTCAAAGATGTATTTATAATCGCCAAAAATGTGTTGCGAAGAGCCACTCGGCGTAGTAAGTCAGGCTAGTTGAACCACTCGACGATCCGCCCTTTGGTCATTTCCATCGCCTTTCTACCTTGGCCTTCAGCATCCTCAAGGTTTGTAACTTTGGGCGATTCAACACTGCATCGCGGAACCACTCGGCGATCCATTGACTGCTCCTTTCTCTCGTCTACTTGGTTCTTTCCTTCAGGGCTTGGCACACTGGAACTTGAGGCGGTCAAGTAGCTGTTCGACGACTCGCCAAGTGGACTCGGCGATCACCAGACTTGCTTTTCTTCATTCTTTCAGCTCACTTCAGTCCTTTTTGCAAATTAGTGTCCTTGCTTTGTTCATCAATCCATATACCTGGAAATCAAGGGTTTTACATCAGTTGTTGACACAAAATAAACATTTGAGGACACTAAGTCATTGTAAA